CGTGCCAAAAAAACATCTATCAAGTCAGGAGAAACTCTCTCTCTTTTTCTTCCTTTTTTGTTAGAGGAATTTCTAGTCTCACTTTCCCCAAAGAAGAAAAGGAAGAAAAAAAAAATCAAAACTGCACGGGCATATATTTGTGTTTATATGTGTTTCGTGACATCTCAACACCGTCCCCTTCAAACTTTGTGAAATCCTACACTCCATTCTATGAGGAAGGAGGGCAGATCAAGGGGGCCCCCTAAGAAATGAGAAATAACAGATGTCCCGTTACTCTGCCAGTGACGAATTTCATTGAATTTCATTGCTTTCTTGCCTCTTGTCCCCACCATCCAGTTTATATAAGCAACCTTAAACTAATCCCGTTGTGGATTATTTTTAACAATATTTTTAAAGAAACAAACATACTTCCCGTTACTAGTGATGGCATCAAAATTTAAGACCTGGAAGAGCTCTAGAAATTAATGCAAGGAGCCAAGATCAAGAAGAGTTTGGCTCTTAAATGGGCTGAGCCTACCCAAACTTTTCTTCAACCAGCTGTTTTCCCCTTACGCCCATTTCTCTTTCCTATCTCAACCTGCTTACCAACTATGGGTCAGAAGGTCTCCCTATTAAAAACGTAGCATTGACTTTACAGTATTTGTAGATATATTATTGTGGGGGGGGGGGTCTCCAAACGTGGCAACTTGAGGACTTGTGGACTTCAACTCCCAGAATTCCCCAGCCAGCATGGATTCAGTGATTCTCCAGGGATTCATCACAGTTGCATATCAGAGTAAACTTACACCAAGTGGGGTTAGATATGACTTTCTTTTTTAATTACTTTATTACTAGTATAGCCAATAGAAGAGACTGGATAGCAATTTGTCTGGAATTGTAGAGGGTTAGAAGGTAGAACATAGAATAATAGAGTTGGAAAGGACTTTCTAACCCCTCTGCTCAAGCAATTGACCTTATATAATTTCAGATATATGGTTGGCAAGTCTCTTTTTGAAAGCCTCCAGTGATGAAGCACCTACAACCTCTGACGGCAATCTATTTTTATTTATTTATTTTTATTTATTTGATTTGTCAGTTGCTTACAAGATAACAGGTATAAGAATAAACATCGTTTTGAATACACGAAATGGATACATACACGAAAAATAAAAAGAAACAATAGGACGGGGATGGTAGGCACGTTGGTGCGCTTATGCACGCCCCCTACAGACCTCTTAGGAAAGGGGTGTGGTTAATAGTAGACAGTCTAAGGTTAAAGTTTTGGGGAAGAAACCACAGAGTCAGGTAGAGTATTCCAGCATTGTTGCTGAAGTCGTATTTCCTGCAATCAAGCTTGGTGTGGTTTACCTTGAGTTTGTATCTATTGTGTGCCCTTGAATTGTTATGTTTGAAGCTGAAGTATTCATTGACAGGTAGGACATTGCAATGTATGATTTTATATACTATACTTAGATCGGGCCGAAGGCGGCGTAGTTCTAGGTTTTCTAGGTCTAGAATTTCAAGTCTGGTGGCATAAGGTATTCTGCAATGAGTAGTGGAGAACTCTTGTGAAATATTTCTGGACTTTCTCAACAGTGTTAATATCAGACCCGTAATGCGGGTTCCAGGCTGATGAGTTGTATTCAAGTATTGGTCTCGCAAATGTTTTGTATGCTCTAGTTCGTAGTGTGATATTACCAGAGAAAAAGCTACGCAGGATTAGGTTAACAACTCCTAATGCCTTTTTGGCTATGTAGTTACAGTGGGCTCTAGCACTTAGATCATTAGAGATGAGAACTCCAAGGTCCTTGACAGAGTTTGGATCATCAATCTGTTCCATTAGTTGATTGCTGTCACCGTTGGGTTGAGCTAAAAGACTTCTAAGGTCCCTTCCAACACTGTTATTCTGACGTTCTGAAAAGGGTTTTTTCCCTCATCCATTTTCCTCTCTATTACAGAGGAAATGTTTATCCCAGAGATGTCCTGAAATGGGAAATGCAATATTAACAGCTCCAGGAGGTCTCTTAAAATCCAGGCAGATGCAAACACAAAATGAATCAAAATGCCTTGTACGTGTCTAGTCCAGCTTTCTCTCCTGGTTATTTGCTTTTTCCTGGTTTTTCTTGTGGGACAGAGTTGGTGAAAATGGAACGTGGGAAGGCTCGAACCTGTAGAATGTTATAAAAGAGGGAAATCGTGCTTTTTTTTTTCTTTTAAAAAAATTGCCTTCTACACAGTTTACCTGCTTCTTATTTACTTGATTTATATTTATTTTATTTCTATAGCTGTCCAGTTCCAACAAGTGACTCTAGATAGTGAACAATCAACAATGGCTTGTTAGGCCTGTGTAAATCATGTCTTTCCAATTTATTGAATCGCTTCGAGAGAGAGAGAGAGAGAAAGAGAGAGAGAGAGAGAGAGAGAGAGAGAGTGAGTGAGTGTTTGGAAATATGAAAAACAAGTGGTTTGAATGGATTTATAGTATCTGATTCCATCTGACGCTCTTAAGTTCTTGAATCTGGAAACAGACTCAAAACCCACCTCTCTATTGGCTTGTGTGAATTTCCACCAGAGACCAAATCTGGATTGATGAGAGATCTGAACAATCTGATCTTTCTGCATTGAAGGTCAAATTATGACATTTTAAGATGATGCAGACCTCTGCTCTTGGGGAATGAAAAAGAGTTCCATTTCCATTGCATGAACAGGAGAGTGGGGGGAAAAGTTGGCTCGGAACATCTTATTTTTTAAGATAAAGACATTTTATAATAGCTCAGCGATGACAAAGTCAATTGGGCTAAATATCTTTATTCCTCCCTGAACAAATTGTCTAATCTATCTATATGTCTGAACTGCCTTCGAATGCGGCATTCCTGCAGACTGGTGGTAGACTATTCTGCAGCCAGCAATATATATATATATATTTAGAAAGGAACCCAAAACCTGAATAACTTCCAAAAGCTGCTTGTGTTTATTAGCTGTCGAGTTAACTCTCCTGCAGTTTGAATTCAGAGCAAGCATCAGCTTTCAACTTCAAGACAGAATGCAAAAGTTATACAAGGTCAGCTGTCACCCACAGCTGTATCTTCTCAAATCCCAGATGTTCCCTTCTCCATCTCCACACTCATCGGAAAGTAAATATGTACAGATAGAGTCCTCAGATCGGAAGCAGGTCTTCTGTCGCTAGATAAGGCGTTTGGTGAGTGGTGCCCTGATTTTATGAACCTTTTTCTTTTGCTGGGGTCATTAAGCGAAGCATGCAGTTGCTTAAGCGAATCTGGCTTCCCCCGTTGAGTTGGCTCGTTGACGCTGGCTGGGAAGTTGCAAATAGCAATCATGTGGTCCCAGGGCCACTGCAACTGTTTTAAGTACACACCAGTTGCAAGCACGCAAATTTCAATCATGTGACCCTGGGGGTTGCTTTGACTGTTATAAGTCTGAGGATCAGTAATAAGTCACTGTCGCAGCTTTGAACGGTCACTAATTGGATACTTGTGAGTTATATGAGCTACCCTGTATGGCAAAGTTTGCACAGACAGAGCAAATAAGAGCCAAAGCTTCAGGTGGTTCTAAAGTTTTTATTTCCACAAATGCCATAACACAAAATGATAAGACAATGGTTTCCTTCCCCAGATAGAAAGAATCTGGAGAAAAATATATTTATCCAAAGGAAAAACAATCATTCTGCCCATTAAAATGCTTGTGCAAGCCCTTGACGGAACTTTTCTTTTCTTTTTTTTACAGAAGATACAGTAAAAAATACATCGTTTTTCATAGAAAAAAAAGCAAATATACAAAAACTTCAGGCTTGTGTGGCCTGCAGATATGACCTACGCAGATCTATATATGCCTTTTAAAAAAGATAAATTTTAACGCAGGCGGGGAAATTCTTTTCCTCTATCGAGTTGCTGTATATCTACAAGGTCCCTTCCAACTCCCATTAACCTGTAATCTACCTCACATCTGCTGTTAAGATGCTAAGAAGGATCTTAAAATAAATCTAAACACTAATGGATTCCTAAGCAGGTTTTCAATATATTTTCAATAAGCGTGAAAATGCCCGTGTTTTATTCACCTCCTGTTACTTCGTCTCTCATGGACGTTGTTTGTTGGGCCTGCATCAATCATCCCTCTCTGATTTATTGAACCATTTCTTGAAACACACATACACACATTTTGGAAAAATTCCAAACAAGTGGCCTGAATCATTGGATTCAATTGGATGCGTCTAAAGGCATGAATCTAGGAACAGAATCAAGACTTGCACCTCTGTTAGCCTGCATGAATTCACATATTAGAGACCAATCCGGATTGACCACAAATCTGAACAATCTGTTCTCTTTGCATCCAGGTCAAAATTGCTCTCCAGAAATAGAGGAATCTGGCTTAGAAATGGCACCTAACTCTGTTCTTAAGTATCTTTGATAAGCAACATATCTCAAAGGTTGGGTATCATTTAGTAAACTGGAGATTACCTTGCATTTGGGATGACCTTGCATAAGGAGGTTTTAGCTTCTTCCCCGTCCCCCCATTATTTCTGTGCACATTTTGCATGTAGAAGTCTACCCTATCTGATGTCTCAAGAAACACGGGATACCTCCAAAATGTGATTTCATTTCCTGACACTTTGCCAAAATTCTCAGGACCATAAAAAGAGGACCTTAACGAAGCACTTTGCACTTAGACTTATATCCCACTTCACATTGCTTTTACAGCCCTCTTTGAGCAGTTTACAGAGTCCCCAACAATCTGGCTCCTTGTTTTACCAACCTCGGAAGGATGGAAGGCTGAGTCAACCTGGAGCCGGTGAGGATAGAACTGCTGGCAGTGGGCAGAATTAGCCTGCAAAGCTGCATTCTAACCATTGCGCCACCACGGATCTTGGTAAAACAATATGAACACGCTATCTCTCTTCTTGGACACCTGATAATTAAGATTAAATAGAAAATGGGCCATCTCATCCAACCACCTACCTCAGTAGGATGCCTTAGAGTCCTACTTGTGACTATAGTTGTTTTTTCCCTCCAGACATAATGGTTAAAAAAACCCGAAACAAATAAGGGCAAATCAGCTAGTTCCTTCTGTGTGAATCTGTGAGCAGGTGTAGAATCAAAAACATCTTATTTAGCACCATTTTAGCACCACAGTTGGCAAGGCCACAAAATCCACCCCGCTTACAGGAACCGTTGCATCACGTGTTTGATTTGAAGGGTGTTGTGTGTGGGTTTTTAACAGAGCCATGGGCCACTAAAATCAAGAACTTTAAATAAATAGAAATTGCACATTGAACAACATTTGTCCCTTTGTGTGGTGGGATCAGAGGTCAATTTTCGAAGGCCAACCTTGGGTCAGATTGATAGGAAGCACCTCTTTGGCTTCCAATGAAGACTGGGCTCAAGGTTTTAGAAGAAAGATAAGTCCTTAAGAAGCCTTCAAATATTTGGATTGAAAGAGGACGACTTTGCAACTATTTCATTAGGACAACGTTTGAGACTTGACTATGATCTACAGGAATCGTACTGAATATCAGGAAACAGAATCGTTCTAACAGGACTTCATTATATACATGTTGTGACCAACTTAATATATCAAACTTCCAATCTATACAAATAAACAAGCAAAGCAAAACCCTTTTTGATTCCAGCAAAATAAAGATGAACTTTTGGCAACCGTTGCTTAGCTAAGCGAGAACAGCTCTGCTGAATAAAATAAGTTGGATTCATCTGTAAATAAAATAATGCTAACTAACATGCAATGAATCAGAATGTGCCAAGACAGGAGTCCCAAGGATTTAATTTGATGATAATTGAACTCCTTTTTCCTAACTTTCTGCAATTGTTTGGCCAGCAAACCTACTTGTTCCATTTAAGTTTTGTTTTGAAAGAAATAGCAACTTTCCATTCTTTTGCGAAAGCAGATTCTTCTCTGGAAATTCCATACCTCTTTCTCAGTCTCCATCAAAAGAAATCTATGTTATTGGTTTAGTGTGGTCTAAACCTTGCCTAAACCACCATACCATTCATAGTATTACAGAATGACTTGGATTCTAGGTATATTCTTGACTTTGATCCAATTTTTCAAAAATTTAACCTTTGGGGTGACCTAAATGCTTTTTATGTTCTCATTCAAAGCCTTCTGATCAGATAAACATCCACCTATTGGAAGTAGTATTTTACGAGAACCCCAACAGCCTATAGTTTGAGGGCAAAATTGTATTTAGGAAGGGTGGCGCAAGCCAGTTTTTCAACCATCTTCTCTCCTAAACTTGAACCATCTTCCTTCTTCTTGAAGGTTCAAAACATTTGGAAGTAAAACAACAACAGTCCGAAAATAAAACAGTGAGCAGATGCTGTCAAGATGGAGAAAGTTCCAATTCCTGCCACCATCTTTTTTTTTTTTCTCCAAAAGAAGATGGATTTAGAAGGCTTCGGCGTTGTCCAAGGAGGGGCAAACATCTCTCACCCCAGGAGAAACACACAAGGCTGCAGTCTCTTTCCCCAAAGAGTCTCGCCGTCTTGGGAAAATTATTGCCTCACAGCAAAGATTCGGAAAGCTTTTCCTTCCCTGGGAGTCTTTAAGCTGGCAAAGGAAGGATAAAAACATCAGCTCCAGTAGAAACAACGGCAAATAAGACATAAGCATAAAAGAAATATTTTGACAACTGGGCCTTTTTGGTTGACTTCTTGTTTGCTTTGGAGAACCTTTTTCTCCGCTTCTCTAGGGAGAGGTGAAGATGACGAGCACTTTAAGATTAAATCTACTCCTATTTGCTGGCTCCTGGTCTTGAGCCACTTTGCACCCACAGCCCTACGATGGCAGGAAGTCTTAGCGAAGGAGTGCCACAAAATGACGAGAAACCCACTTCTCCCTGGGCACACTGACCTTCCTCATCTATCAGTTGGCAGGCTTAAACCCAGGAAGCCCTCCCTGGCACTCGCTCAACAGCTGTCTGACAACTTTGACATCAACACACACAGTGGGAAGCTGCTGAATGCCCAGATATAGGTAGCTACGTCGATGACCCTACACACAAAAGATGCCAGGCTTTGACCTTCCTCACCAGCATTGGTCAACTCCAACTAGGATCCGTACCCAACATGGTACCGGGCAGAACTCCTTGTTTAAGTGGGGTCTTGTCTCTACCCCTCAGTGTGCTCCTGTGGTGCTTCTCAACAAAATAGCCATCCCATTGTGTCCGAACGTCCATCAAGAGCTTATACCAGCCCAATGTCTGATTTTGTTTTCAACATAGGCCACCACCCTGTCCTTGGATGGCTGGGGGGACTGGACATTTAACATTTGAACCACTATAGGTCCATGTCTCTTGCCAGATGCTAAATAAATAAACGAGCACTTTATATAGGCAGTCGGTTCATATTTCTGTTTCTATTTCTGGACTCCAAATTTGCATTTCCAGATCTTCAGCTCTCCAGACGTTCATTCGAGATAAACTATCTCTTACGTTTTAGGTAGTTTTTATTCTTCCTCTTCTTCTACCGGGCTGGAAATGTTTTTTGCCTTACCTTTCAGATCGGATCCCATTCCTCAAGGATCCATGATAGACTTTCTTCTTATCGACTGGCATCACATCGATGTAACCGCCAGAGCTGTCTCCGATGACTCCTGCGTGCACAGCAGCTTTGCAGATGCTGGAATTCTGAAACATAGCAGAACAAGCCCTGTAACACCCAAGCTCCTGTCGCCTCCTCGTAAATCCCCCAGTTAGGACGCCACGATCACTTTACATGTTGCAGAAGAGCAGATTAAAGTGGCTCAGGCCAGAGCCAGATTTTAAATCTGGAAAACAGCCAGCATCAAGCAGTGGTCCAGCTTTCCATGAGACCAAAAAGCAGATGGTTCCCAAGCATGTTTCTAAACTGGGGAGGTGGGGGTGGAATGAGTCCTCATTTTTTTAAAAAAAGCGCCAGAACACACTTGCAAATCTCCAAGATCAAAGATATTTGATTGTGTATATGTGTGTGGGTGTGTCTGTCTGTCTGTCTTGTCAGAGGATATTCATGAACTGGAAGAGAACATGGTAACAACATCCGCCAATGAATAGGCCTAGCAACTAAGTCAGCCAATGAGGACTGTTTGGAAACTGAAACTAGAATTAGCCTAGGCGTGGCTCTATATTAAGCTCTGAAGCTCTGAGTCTGTCTATGGAAAACGAAAACTGCTCCTGAGACATGGAATTTTGGAATGTTAGATCTACAAATGGCCCAAAAGAGGAAAGAAAACAACTCAAACATTATACTTTCACAGAGGGTGCAAGGCCTCAAAATTCCTACTGTGACCAAGATGCCATGGAATTGGCGCAAGGAACATACGAGAACATAAGGAACATTCAGAGGTGCATTTCTCCAGGCCCGCACATACATCATGGTTGAAGTTCTCCCGCACCTCCACCCCTTCCCGAGCCATAAAAAGTCAATTCCCTGGGTCCCATTTTTCATCTTGGTCACTGCTCTGTTGTTGGCGGCTTTCTCGGATTTCACATGCCAGTTTGATTTGAGCCTTTTCTATATATGGTCAAAGAGAACAGCGTGAGCTTTTTACAGCTGCTGCGTTTCCAGTGCCTGCTAACCCTTCGTTCCACAGCATCGGAAACTGGCTGGAGAACCACTTCCTGTCATTAAGGAACTCAGGCAGAGTTTCCATAACACCTCATTCTCCAAATTCTCTTCTAAATGGTTGGTTTCCAGGATGCTCAGCTTGTTGAAATTCATCACTCCTGTGGCCAACACACCCATCCCATTCCATTCCATTCTTTGTTTCTTTCTTCCTTCTTTCCTTTCCTTTTCCCTTTCCCTTCCTTTCCTTTCCCTTCTCTTCCTTCCCTTCCTTTCTTTTCCTTTCCTTTCTTTCTTTTCTCTTCCTTTCCTTTCCTTTCCTTTCCTTTTCTTTCCCCTTTTCCTTTCCCTTCCTTTCTTTTCTCTTCCTTTCCTTTCCCTTTCCCTTTCCCTTTCCCTTTCCTTTCCTTTCCTTTCCCTTTTTTTTCCTTTTCCTTTCCTTCCCCCCGTCCCCCCTCTATCTATCTTTTTTTCTTTCTTTTTGCTTGACTTCCATTCCTGGTTTCTGGCCCATCTTCTCCTCTGCAGCAGAATTCTCTTATCGTGGTGACCAATTTGCAAACATTTAAGTAAGAAGGTCATTTCCCGGAAGAGGAGAACTCTCTCATTCCAAAACCGGTAGGGTTCTTATAATAAGTCAGCAACTAAGTTTTATGCATCGTAGCCTCTAGAATCTTTCCTTCTTCCAAGTTTAAACCACAGAAAGCCCATGTTACAGTTTAGCCTCTTCTACGAACTGAACCAGGATCGCAGGCCAAAAAGACCAGTTCCTATCCGTAGATACTCAGCAACCGGTGGCAAGAAGTGGTTGACAAGAAGCAGGAAAGATTCTAAGTGTGCAAAAGGAGCTTTTTATCAAATACAATCCAAAGCAACAGGGGAAAAAAAATAAATCAAAGGGATTATTCTATCCTGGGTATAAAGAACTTTAAGAAAGCGGCTCTGTATTCATATGATATCCCAGTATTCCATGAGAAATACCAGGCTGGAATTCCAAGGATTGTCTTTTCTTTTTAGATTTTGGGGTTTTTTGTTGGATTCCTCGCCTGCCAGAAGTCCTGTGCTGAATTGCTAAGAGCTATTTTGGACGCCTACTGAAATTAGAACGCACAACAATTTGTTGGCACCATTCTAGACATTAATGGGAAGCAGGGATACCCAGCAGTGTGTGCTGGCTACTTTGCACATTTGTTCCATTGCAGGCATGGATGGATTGTGACTTTCATGCTTAGCCTTTTGAGAGGAACTCTTTAACCTTCTGCCGGGAAGATGTTGGAGAGGACAACTGAAGAGGGAAGCATTCCACTTGTTTGACTAATGGCCTTGTCCAACTTGAAGAAGTTCTCAAGAAGATGTGATTTGGCTCTCCGCTCCTCTCCAATGCCTTTTTGTCTCCTTGTTATCTCTTTCTTTCTTTCTTTCTTTCTTTCTTTCTTTCTTTCTTTCTTTCT